ATTTACTGGGAAAACCTTACCTTCCTGCTCTGTATCTGTATAATCAGCTTGTGATGGCCAAGAGCTGTGGTTTGTTGACCCAGTGCAAAGGCCAATCAATTACACACAGTTCAGGAAAGTGGAAATTTGTCACTTATTTCTGCTCAGGAGCAAAGGGCTTCCCCATTAGCAAACAAAGGAGCTCAGAGGAACCACAAGAAGACTGGCATTATATTTCTTAGACTTCAGAATACAGGAAATTAACAACAGCACTACAATGACTTGTTACAAACTTATCGTTAAAATAGCATGTGTACAAGTACAGGAAATTAAGTCAAATCCTTGACTTATGACCACAACTGAGCCCAAAATTTCTGTTGCTAAGCGAGACACTCGCTAAGTGAATTTTGCCCCATTTTACAATCATTCTTGCTACAGTTGTTATGTGAATTATTGCAGATGTTAAGTTAGTAACAGGATTGTAAGGTGAATCTGGCTTCCCCATCTATTCTACTTGTCAGAGGTTTGCAAAAGTTGATCATGGAACCCAGGAACACTACAACTATCATAAATATGAGCATCTGAATTTTGGTCACATGATGCTGCAATGGTCATGAATGTGAAAAACTGTCATAAGTCATTTTTTTAATGCTGTTGTAACTTCAAACCGTCACTAAACAAACGGTTGTAAGTCAGGACTACCTATAGTGCTATTCACCTTGGAATAACATTTGTACAAGGAGTGCTGTTCAGCTGTTCTTATCATAACTTACACCATCTCTGCTTGCCCCTCAAGTCAAGCTGCAACAAGCTTCTAGTTACTGTTCTAACTTGCATCCTGCAGAGCTAAATATAATTTCTTGCTTTTCTTTAGCAAAGCATTTGGCAGTTTACTGTTTTATGCTTCTGCGCAAACAGGGTAAATTGAAGCGAGAGGAGTGTAGAAAGAAAAAAAAGAGGCTTCTGTAAAATAGGTACTTTTAAAATAGGATAAAGTTTGGAAAGGTGAAATTTGGGGTCCCAGGTTTTCAATCTCTTCTGCTGAACGCATGATTAAATATTAAATAAAGACAGCTTGAGAAGTTGCACTCTACTTGGCATTTCAGAACACAGGAGCTTTTGCCAACATGAAATCATAGGAACTGGCTTAATTAAAATCCTTACCAGCAACAATACTGTAGAAGTTCTCAAGCAGGACTGAGAACGGGCCTCTGAAGTTATTTCACTCCGGCATCAAGTACTCCTGTACGAGGAGCTAGGCCTTCTGAATCTCCAAGCATAACTTCCGAGAAAACTTACCGTACTTCACGGGTGTCAAACTTCCGCGCCGTGGGCCGGTTTCATCATACCGAAGCCGCGCCCACCCCACTCCCGGCAATGCAAAAAGAGTCGCGATACACCCGTGTTATAGACTAACGGTGGAGATCAGGGACCCTCCATTGCGAGCCCCAATTCAAGCTCAGCTGAAGGGCCTCTTTCCTTTTCGGAGACGTTGCCTCCCTGCAGCAATTACGCCGCCAAGTTTCTCAAAAGGCTGTAAGTTTTTGCAAAGCATTGGCTCCTCCAGAGAAGCGCCTATCACCCAAACACATATCACAAAATCCAATCTTCCCATATTTAAGCACTTAGGATGTCAGGCTTACCTTTCCACGGGGAAAAAAAGGGAGTCTCAAAGCAACATCGATCCTGAAATTGTAAATAAACTGATACGGACGCTTACCCTTCGCTGGCCTCCTGTCAAAAGCACTTTCGTTTTCAAAAGTGCCCCTCCCTTCTTCCTTGTAGTTATTTTGTGAGTCGCATTTCCTCTGCCGTGTCCTCAGGCAGCTGCTTCAAGAGAGGAAAAGTTTCACAGAAGTCCTGCTTAATTGGCCACATCAAACAAAAGGGCTGTACAAGCCTTGAAGATGCCTTTCCTCCACAAAGGTTTAAGTGAAGATAGGCACCTGTTGCTTCACTTAATGTTGCTTTTTTGTTTGTTTGTTTTTTAACCTCCTGCAGAATTGTAGTACCAGGGAAGGGTTTCTGGCACGTGCAGATTCTTTTTCTCCCATTTGCAAGAGATAGAGGAGGCCAAGGACCTGGGAGAGGCCTACAGGGAAGACAAAACTCTTCTCCTGAGGGGAATCCAAGTCTGGAAAACGGTCCCCTCCCTTTTCACCCTCAGCTCTGTGAGAGAAGTATTTGCCTAACTCTCATGTTCCTGTCAACTCCCTTCTGAAACTTTTCCTCTTTGTGAGTTTGTGACACTATTGCTATCAGTCTTGCTATTGAACTTTGGAAACTAGCATTGACATTGCTTGATTGACTCTTGATGGACATTAACTTGTGAATTTGGTGAGATTTCCTTCAGGGTTGGTCCTTATACCAGCTTTCTGATAATGGGCATCAATTATCCCATTGAAGTCTACTTGATATAAGCAGCTGTTGATTTTCTGGCTATAGTTTTTTTACAGGTCTTACTCTGGAGGTGGCATTTTTCCATTGCTGGTTCTTTTATTTACTTCATGGACTGACTGCTGAGAGCACTTAGCAATTTCTCCTTTCCACTTCATCCTGAGAGGAGCAACCAGGATGCCCCCAGACTCAAGTCCTGCAAGCTGATTGTCAGCAATGAGTGCATTGCCGATTCAGCAAGGTTTTATATAGCTGTTTTGTTTTGCTATGGACTCAATATATCAATAGAAGCCAGATTACTACTGTGTGTTAGTGTGGTAATAGGGATTCATTAATACAAGTGCATTCCAAATAAAAATATTAATACTAAAATACTGAAGATGCTTCAATGCACTTTTATTCTTACTCTGTATAGTAACTACCCCTCATTCAGAGCCATTACAATTTTCAACAATCGCTGAACAAGTATATGTCAAGCAAGGATTACCTGCAAGAGCTGCCTGTGCTTTCCAATATGATCTCTGAAGTGCCCTTGCAGCTGTAGTCATATTCAGGCTGGTTCAGTATGTAGGAATAGAAGTTTTAATATATTTAAATTTTAAACAGTGCTTGACTGAAAAGGCAGTTCTATTTGTAGAATTTGTTTCATTCAATTATAAATAATTTTCCAAAATTCCTGGCTTTGTAATATCACAATTTATGACCAAATGATCAAATTTGATCATTACATTTCCAACATTTTTTGAAAAATGAACTATCAGTTTTAATAACCAAGAACTAGAATATGTGATTTGGTGAAACATAGCAGTTTTCTGTGTAAATTTAATATTTTTCTTCCATTGAAATTCCCATTGCTGCATATCAATATAGTGTGTTTGAATTTCTGCATTGTATTTTATCACCTGGCAACCTATAAATGAATTCCAGCAAATGCTCTAAATTTTGTATTTTACAGTTTCCGAATTAGTAGTATAATAGTAGTAACTGTGAGGGATCTTGGAGTCCTAGTGGACAATCACTTAAATATGAGCCAGCAGTGTGCTGCAGCTGCCAAAAAACCCAACACAGTGCTAGACTGCATTAACAGAGGGATAGACTCAAGATCACGTGAAGTGTTAATACCACTTTACAATGACTTGGTAAGGCCACACTTGGAATACTTCATCCAGTTTTGGTCACCACAATGTAAAAAAGATGTCGAGACTCTAGAAAGAGTACAGAGAAGAGCAACAAAGATGATTAGGGGACTGGAGGCTAAAACATATAAGGAATGGTTGCTGGAATTGGGTATGTCTAGTTTAATAAAGAGAAGGCATGACATGATAGCAGTGTTCCAATATCTCAGGGGCTGCCACAAAGAAGAGGGAATCAAGCTATTCTCCAAAGCACCTGAAGGCAGGACAAGAAGCAACGGATGGAAACTAAGAGAAAAGCAACCTGGAACTAAGGAGAAATTTCCTGACAGAACAATTAACCAGTGGAACAGCCTGCCTCCAGAAGCGGTGAATGCTCCAACACTGGAAGTTTTTAAGAAGAGACTGGACAGCCATTTGTCTGAAATGGTATAGATTTTCTGCCTGAGCAGGGAGTTGGACTAGATGATCTCCAAGGTCCCTTCCAACTTTATTATTATTATTATTAATTCAGTCAAGTCTCTAAGATTTTACCTTTGGAATTACTTCAGAACTATGCAGCCTATTTGAAAATATTCAAATACGCTCACTTGTTCTGTCCTTTTAAAAGAAAGAATCTCAAAGGATTTTTATTTTGTTTGAAGAACCAGAATGCCCACTTCTCCTTGGGAGTTCAGTTTGATTACCCCTTTTATATTATAAAGCACTATCAAGTAGATATTACTCTGAAAAAAAATCAATCAAAATTTATTGAGGTAACAGGCAAACCAGAAAACAATTTATAGAAAAATTGTGAGAAGTTGATATAAAATGATACATACATTTTATGTTCAACCCTGAGCTAAATATGTTCTGCTCTGCTGATATATAGATTTCATAAGGATAGAAACAGACTAATTAGCTACTGTGCAGCAAAACAATTGCAGTGCATTCAAAATCTATGGTAAATTGCAAACTAAATGCAAAATCAGTGGCCAATGGTGTTACTTTCCATAAGAATATTTATTTCCACTCTTTCCTAACCTTGTCCTCATGCAAGCATATTTAAAAATTGGAAGCTGTTCAGCATAATGGATGATATAATTTCTATATATTCAGTGATGGCTCATAAATTTTCGATAGTTTTCCGGTTCAGAAAAAAAATACCAAGAATACAGGAGAATGTAAGGAAAGGAAAGAAATTCTAAACAGCAAAAGTTTTTTTCTTCCCTGAATAAATGTACAGAGTAGTCTAGTCTATGTCTGCCCTAAGGAAGAGAAATAAAGATTCACAGTTTTCAAACAAATTACAATCAAATCTTTTAGCACCTAGAAAGAAGGCCTTCTCAGATGTCCACAAAATCAAAACTATTTGCCAGGCTATGTTGAAAAAGAATACAATATTAAATCCCATCAAACAATCATGAGAAGTGGTAATGGTAATGAATGTGTCTGTGAGAGGACAGGCCACTTACAAAATGGCCAGCACCTGTGCTGCTGTTACCCTGCCTCTTTAAGGCCTCTCCCCAGACAGCATAGCAACAGTTGGTTATAAAAATGGAGCAGAGAGGCAACTGGGTGTGGTAGTGTTGGTGCTGTGTGTTTGTATTTAGAGATAAAGCAGCCTGAAATGGGTGGAAAGAGAAATTGTTCTCCAGCAATGGGACTAATAAGGAGTAGTAGTTGAAGGAGCAGTAGATGTAGTAGACGTGGGAAAGAGTAGAATAGTGAGCAGTACGCCTTCTGGATACGCCGTACAGCGCACAGCGGAGACGGCAAGCGTAGCTGGCACCGGCTACACCTGGATACGCTGTACAGCAGAGACGGTAAGTGTACCCAGCGGTGGCTATGCATTCTGGATATGCTGCACGGCAATGGCTACGCCTTCTGGATACAATATACGGTATACTCTATGCTGTAAGCGTAGCCGATATCGGCTACGCATACTGTATACTGTATACAGTATACAGTATGCATAGCCGGAACCGGCTACACTTATAGTATACACTGTACACTATACAGTATACAGTATACGGTATACGTAGGTGGCACCGGCTACCCTTACCCTGCTATGTGTCAACGGCCCTGCCTGAGCTAGCTGACGTGATAGCCGCGGTGGCGGTGGAGACCCCCAGACTTATAGTCATGGGGGATCTCAACCTGCCATCGGCGGGCGAAACGTCGGCGGTGGCTCGGGAGTTCCTGGCCTCCATGACGACCATGGACTTGACCCAATTAGTTCATGCACCCACCCACACGGGAG